CTATTAATGTTTTTCAGTCCAGCTCGGTCCCAAAAACGGTCCTTATTATTTAAACCTCTAATCATTTCATTGGCTAGCGGAGCATGTCAAATCATATGACGTTTGCAATTGAAAATAAGAGATCACGTAACATACTTTCTTAATAATTTTAATTAGCTATTTTAGCTATTCATGAAGACTAATCTCAAGACCGAGGACCGAATAACCGTAAGACTGGTTGAAAAGACTGGTCCCTATTTGGTCTTTTCAGGACTGATCCATCTCTAATATTTTTTGATGTTTTAAAATATTACATAAGAAACAGGCTCATATATTTTAAATGATGTTTTAAAAGTGATAATTGTGAAAGCTTAGTTTTAGATGCAAACCTTACAGAAGTCCTCTTAATGTGTATATTTAAGATAACGCAAGTTACATTTCAAAAAGCTTTCTTTAAATTATTTTATCTATTGCTAAAAAATAATATAACTTATATAACGTATCATTCATAATAGTTTCGTCAGACAAAACCATTGACGAGGCTATAGATCTCAAGAAGTTTACGGATATAAATGTAATAAATCGAAAATATAGATAATCTAGAGTCTTGAAATTTTCTTCGATAATTATAACAAAAAAATCGTGGAATCACGTCTTTTGCAAAGCGCTATAATTTATTAGAAGTTATAAATGTGTGAAAGCACCATATTCACAATCGTTATTACTGTACATGTAAGTAACATAAAATGCATCAGATTAAGAATCCTATGTAATTTAAGATATGATTTAAAATGCCATATAAAATGCATATTAGCTGTAAAATTAATTACCAAACTTTGTAATTGTATATCTTTTCGTATTTTTCTATATTTATTTTTATTATTTATTTATTTATTTATTTTGCTAATGTAGGATCTTCAGCTGCTAATATATAATGCCTGATGTAAAACCAAACTATAATTATAGTCTTAATATTTATATTGTAAAGCTAACATTAAATAGATTCAGAATTAACTTTAATTCAAAATACCCTAACTACTTATTTTATTTGAAATTTCATTTAAACCACACGTAAGCAGTGTTGTACATTTTAGATGTCTGTGTCATTTTGGACAGTCGAATCAGGCTTATAAATCTATTTTAAATGCACACATGCAGAAGTTAATTATGAACAACTTCAGAGCGGGCCATAATAAAAAATTTTGCGTCATTCGGTGTCAAGTGACAACAATACACTTAAGTGGGTTCAGGATTTTATTTCAAATATACAATTGGCTAAAATAATAATAATAATAATAATTAATATAATTAATATAATTTTTTAACACGAAAATTGTCGATATGTTAATATAGGTTGCCATCAATAGAAATCAGGCAGATTGACATTTTTAAAAAATATCCATACCTCAACTTTCACAGCTCATATTTCGATGAATTTTGAAGCTAGTTTGAGGATTTAATATTCAAAAGAAATATTATATTCTAAGCATTCTTTTGACTATTGAATATCAAAATAGCTTCAAAATTAATCAAGATATATATGAACTGTGAAAGTTAAGTTATGAATTTTTTTAAAAAAATTGTCAATCTGCCTGATTCTATAGGCATCAGCCCATGTAGTTAAAGTTACTGATGGTCGTCAGTATAATCAGCAAATTTTTAAAGTAAGATTGTTTTCAAAAAAAATTTGTTGGTTAAACCAGCTGGTCGGTACAATCAAAATGATATGTATCATCAGCCATTTCATTAATTACGGTCAGCACTCCATTATTGAATTTATCTTGATGCTATTTCCTAATGCAAGGAGAAAAAGTTCACTGTGAATATTTTGTATTTAGATCTTGTACATTGTTCCAGACGCCCAAAATGCAAGGAAATTAAAGTCCTTCAAATAAATATATACAGTATCGTATTTGCGCGTAATAACATGCAGGCAGGGTTATATTCCATTGAAAAAATTACCAATGAAGCGAATGGAGCCCAATGGAGTGAATGGAGCCAATGGCTCCTATAGAAAGATTTAACGAAGTCAATGAAGAATAGGGTTCTAATCTATACCTCATATATCGATAGCTCGACCCGTTGAAAAACAAATCAAACGGATCAATGCCAATAGAATTGGCATTTGTTCCATTCAGCAATTATTCTCAATGGAACAATGGAGCAATGTCAATGGAATTGTTCTCTATTCGTCCCAATTCCAACCCTATGTGCAGGGGTGCAATTACCTAAATTAAGCTGGCCATTACTCAAATAACGCCCTGGCACGCTATTACGCGCAAATATGGTAAAGTAACATTATGTGTTTCGTAGTACAAGACATTTGTATAACGGTAATAATCGGTGTATAATTTACTGCGAATTATAATCGATTTCCTTTCTCGTTCGATACATGTACTTTATAATTCAGTCACATATCATGTCAAATGAAAAAAGCTTTCCGGCCATTTATAATATTCCATCTACAGAACTATCAATAAATAACGCTATTTGCAATGATAATGATCAAGTTGTTAATACTTCATACCAAGTAGATTTGTCGTTGCATAATTCTCAAAATTTTCTAAATAGAATTATTGAAGAATTATGTGATTTATATAATAAAGAAGTTACGAAAGGAAGTTTTTCCGGCTCAATTATTTACTCAATTGAACAGCATTTGGCAAATCAGCAACAAAAACCAGAAGAAATAATAAACTTATGCTTAAATAATCAAACAAATCCCATTATTCAAACTAATTCTATAATTCAAAATATTCTTGCATATTGTTATGAATATGGAAAATGGATTAAAAATGACAATTGTAATGCATTTATTCAATATAAAAAATCAGCAGAAATGGGAGATGCTATTGGAATGTGTAATCTTGGTCTTTGTTATCAATATGGTGTCGGTGTTGAAAAAGACGATCATAAAGCATTCATGTATTATCAAAAATCAGCAGATATGGGTGATTCATATGGAATAAATTCCCTCGGTGACTGTTATCGAGATGGAGTTGAAGTTAAAAAAGATGTTAATAAGGCATTAAGTTATTATCAAAAATCTGCAGAAAGGGGTCATGCTATGGGAATGAACAATCTTGGATATTGTTACGAAAATGGAATTGGAGTTGAAAAAGATGAATATAGAGCATTTACTTATTATCAAGAATCCGCTAATATAGGTAATTCTGATGGAGTATACAACCTTGGTGATTGCTATGAAAATGGAATTGGGGTTGAAAAAGATGAACGAAAAGCATTCATTTATTATCAAGATTCTGTTGTTATGGGTAATTCTAATGGAATGAATAGAGTTGGTTATTGTTATCAAAATGGAATTGGTGTTGAAAAAGATGAACATAAAGCATTTATTTATTATCAAAAATCTGCTGATATAGGTAATTCTAGTGGAATCAATAGCCTTGGGCTTTGTTATGAAAATGGAATTGGTGTTAAAAAGGATAAATGTAGGGCATTCACTTATTATCAAAAATCTGCTAACATGGTTAATAAGAATGGAATATTTAATCTCGGAGATTGTTATGAAAATGGGATTGGGGTTGAAAAGGATGGACATAAGGCATTCTTTTATTATCAAAAATCTGCTGATATGGGTAGTGCTAGTGGAATGTTTAGGCTTGGGCTTTGTTATGAAAATGGAATTGGTGTCAAAAAGGATAAATACAAGGCATTCACTTATTATCAAAAATCTGCTGAATCGGGTAACGCTAGTGGAATGAATAGGCTTGGGCTTTGTTATGAAGATGGAATTGGAGTCAAAAAGGATGAACACAAGGCATTCACTTACTATCAAAAATCTGCCGAGACGGGTAATACTAATGGGATATTCAATCTCGGAGATTGCTATGAAAACGGAATTGGAGTTGAAATGGATGAACATAAAGCATTCATTTATTATCAAAAATCTGCTGATATGGGTGATTCTGATGGAATGTATAAACTTGGTTATTGTTATCGAAATAGTATTGGAGTTAAAAAGGATGAATATAAGGCATTTATTTATTATCAAAAATCTGCCAATATGGATAATGTTTATGGCATACGTCAAGTTGGTTATTGTTATCTTCATGGAATAGGAGTTGAAAAAGATGAATATAAAGCATATATTTATTATCAAAAATCTGCCAATATGGCACTAACAAAATAGGAGCCTTGGACATGATCAAAAGTGTAGTTGAAGTTGAAATAGATAGATGCAAGACAATTCTTTTTTATCAAAATCTGCAAAAATAGATAATAATTCATAATTATAAAATATTTATGTATTAAAGAATTTCAGATATTGTTATAGAAATTGTTATAAAAACTACAAGATACACAAGGAAGCAATTTTGGTATAAAGAAATAATATTATGATTTTTATCTATGTTAATTTAATTTAGTTTGACTTTTATTTTAAGTTTAATAAAATTTTTGTTACATGTAAAAGACTATGTGAAAATATTAATAATAATTTATAATATTTAAAAATAAGAGATAATTACCTTATAATTTACTTGTTGTTTTTCCTTCTCACTATATGCATCAAACAAGTGAGGAAATACATAGCGTTGAAAAGGATCATTAAAAGATCTAGGCATTTCAATACTTTTCTACCAAACCTTTTGATCAATTCGCTTATTAAAAATTTTATTATATAGAGAGATGTTTTATTTATATTTTCAGCAGGAAAGGGAGGAACGAAAAAGGTATTGAGATCTTGCAACAATTTATTAGACAGAAGGATGCTATTTTTAGTTTTTTTTTTTTTTTTTGCAAAGTCTTTGACACCATCCATTAGCACTTGTTTATTATTTTCGATAGTGCTGATGATTTTTTAAGTATAGATATTAAGGACTAATACTTTAAAGGGCAGAATACAACATATAAGAGATCATGTATTCCAAATTTTCAACAAATTATTCAACAAATAACATAATCATAAATGTTTTACCTGTAAATTGCATTACGGTTACTGTTTATGAGGATCTTTAACATTGAATATTCAAGATATTTTGATGATTGCTTTTCTGCTTCTAGATCCGCTTTAAACAATGATTTAAACGATGTGCAAGTTTTGATAGTAACTGCTCAAGTAATTCTTGCGAAACAGCAAAAGCTAAACTCTGCCTTTCTTCAGAGAATAGCAAAATTAAATTCGAGCATAGTTGTTTAAATTGTTTATACGATAACTGCACTTTGATCGATTGATCATTAATAAGTATTTCAAAATAATCGATTCATGAGAATTTATCAAATGCTATTTCAGCTTTATGAATCCCTTAATCTTTTTTTCTGTTCAACATTTGAAATTTTAGAGATGATGGTCTTCAATGATTCGGAGTCATGCTCATAAGTATTTGGTTCTTTGAGCGAGATTCTAGAAGAATTTGCAGTTTTTATATGCTCCAAATTGGTCACAATAGTATATTCGGATTTATAAATTCTTTTGCGTGTAGATTTTTTTCCTACCAGATTTATCGCTGAAAGATGCAACTGTCTGTTCATTATTTGTACCATTCGATCCTTGATGATGTGCCGATAAGCCTTTACATTCTTGCTTAGAGGTCCAGCATTTTCCTTTTGACTGGTTGTGATGTATGAGATTCGATATTTTGTGTAAAACTAACAGATTGCTTGAATACTAATCTATGAGATAATTTTGATATCTTATCATCACAAACATCATTGAGAGCTTCGTTTTTCTTGCTTTTTTTGTCTTTTAAACCAACTTTAATTGTTGGCATTACGTGTTGAAAGTTTTCAGTTTTTTTTTTTATCTTTCACATTTTTTTTTTCTATTTTTCGCAGAATTATGATCAGGGTTTTTAGAAATAAGTTTTAAACATGATTGTCAGTCTCTTTAATATATTTATCATGGTCTTTTAAGCATAATTTTATATGTAGAATTAATGGAAACATTGGGCAAGATATATTTTTTCATCGTCAAGATGATCAGAAAGACAAGCTAATAATTCCTTTCTCAATAGAGGATCATTAGTATTCGGATTTTTTGCAAGTGAAGGAATCATACGAGCAAGGCCAACAATAAGTACCAAACTATTCAAGCATGATCTTGCAGTTTCTCTTGCTCCATTGCGATGTTTTAAGCCTGGCAAAAATATAAGACCAATTGTTGCAATTTGAGTAAATCATTTTTCTCATTCTTAAGTCGATCAGAAAGCCAAGTCCATAATTTTTCTTTCAATAAACTAAAATTTACTGATCGTTCATTAAGCAAAAAGTGTCCAGTCGATAATTTTACTATAGCTCCTGCTAGCATAGGTGAAGTTCGTTATGATTGGCTAATAAATTTTAAAAATGGTCACCAAAATTAGTGATTATGATTACGTGTATT